CTATGCCCCTGCCTGCACTGCTCCTCCTCGCCCTGCAGCCCCTGTACCCTCCACCCCTGCGGCCTCTGTTCCCCCTGCTCCCCACTCGCCCTGCAGCCCCTGTACCCTCCACCCCTGCGGCCTCTGTTCCCCCTGCTCCCCACTCCCCCTGCAGCCTCTATGCCCCCGCCTGCCCTCCTTCCCCCGCTCACCCGGCAGCCTCTGCCTGCTGAGGGCTTCAGACGCTCGGCAGCGCAGGTCCCTACAGCCCCGGCCGCAGCTTCCTTCCTGCCGCCGAGCACGTTCCCCGGCCTGTCTGTTTCCGCGGGAAACAGCTCTCGCGGCGCCGGGTTCCGAGCTGCGTGGGGCAATGGGGCCACAGGAAAGGTCCCCCAGTGGCCGGGGGGGTCCCCGCCCGCGAGGGAAGCCCAAGCCCCTCCTGAGCATTGTAGCTGGGGCAGCTGGGCTGCGCTGCGGACCTGGCGGATCGTGCTGGGTGGACCCTGGCTTATGCCTCCCTATTTCCCCAGACATGTCCGGCTCTTTGGAAATTCCCCCCGGATGGGGATTTGAGCACCAAAAAGCCGGACATGTCGGGGAAATCCGGACGTATGGTAACCCTAGCATATGCTGTTTTAACTCTTGTAAAGAGATATTCTGTGTTGCTCAGAGAAATGGCTCCCTGCCTGGCCTAAGTTATTAGAAAAATGTATGAGCTTCCTGTGGTGAAAGAAAAAGAAAAAGTTTTCACCCATTTTTAAAAGGTCAAACAGAAATCTTCCTGTTCACGTGGAAATCTTTATTGGATTTTAATAAAAGCTAAACATAATTATTGAACAATGTCTTACCCTCATCTTTTACAATAGTCAATATTTTGGAAGTGAACATGATCTATGGTATTTATAGCTTTATTTAAACAATTTTATTTTCCTCACTTATGCACAGTAATGTATAGCAACAATATAATCTTTTAAATAACATGTTCCGTCCAATTTATTAAGAACTATTTTGTCTTTTCTACCCTGTATCTTTGGGTCTGATTACACTCAAGATTCCCACTGAAGTCAATGGGAATTTTGAGTGCATAAGGAATGCAGGATTAGGCCCCATATTTGGGGGTGGTTTTTCCATATGTCTCTCTCTCCAAGGATACTTGATAACTTACTGGATATCTTAATGAATCACTTTTCACTCAAAACTCAGCCACATATGATTTTTTTAATGTAATGAAACTTACGAAACTTGTAAAGCTGAATTAATTTCCTTGAGTAGTTCTTGGGTCTTATTAAAATCTGCGAGTATGCTTTGTTTCTCTCTGATGTGGTCTGCTGTCATGACATCCAGCTCTTTCTCATGTTTCTTGCTTAAATCTTGCTCATGTATCCTGTTTAATTCATTTTTGGTTAAAAAAAGTTATTCTAACATCAGTCTGCTTTGTTCATCACAATTTTCTGCCAGGTTTGAAATGGCTTTTTGTACAACACCAAACAACACTGTCAGCAGTTACTGAATCATCAAATCGTACTACTGACTTTTCTCTATGCTTCAAGCTTATTTCACTGAAAAGTCATCTCCTTTAATGCTTTTTTTTAAAATAAACACAATGAGTTTTAAAAAACACTTAAGGGGACTTTAATTAAAGTTGGCCAAAATATGTTATTAAAATTACAGCTGAACCATATAATAATATCTACTTATATTACCTCCTGGCAGAGGCTAAATGATATACAGTATCACATGACTAAATATCTAAACTAACAACCCACAAAGGGTCAAGTATCTCTGACAAACATTAGCAGTTGAGATTAATAAATAGGAAAATATTGTAGTTTATAATAGAAAAATTCATACCTAATCTGTTGGTTGGATTCACTGCGTATTCTGAGAACCTCTTTCCCCTTAAACTCCAGTTCCTTGGTTAGGGCACTTATATTCTCATGCAGAGTCAGAACCTCCTTGTCCAATTCAGATATATGATGGTCGCGATGTTTGAGTTCATCCTGTAGATCTGATACTCGGCACAAAAATTCCTTCTCCTGATAAACAAATATCAAGAACAAAGAATACTTTAATATACTCCTGTTTCAGATGCAAAATACTTGTCTCTGGAAGTTTATAACATAGCTTACTTTTCCTTTTGTTTTAGATTTTTTTTATTTACCATTTAACAGTGTTTAAGTATAGAGTATAAGTTTAAAAAGTCCTTATCAAAATCCCGATAAAGGAAACCGGAGATCAATAATGTTTTCTATTGTGTGAGAGTAGAAAAAAAGACTCTCTCACCCACATACCTGTGAGAGAATTCTATATATTCTATCTATTCAGCATGCTGTAGGAGAGGAATCACCTATAGTTAAGGTTATACAAACTGTTTCATTCTAAAAAAAGATAGTTTTACTTTTTTTGGCTAAAGTTTAGCATGTTGGTTCTTAGCCTTGGAATTATTTATTTTTAATACAGTTCAAGAAAAAGCTCAGTGATTTTCAAGGATGAGGAGAGTGAAAAATACACTTTTGTAATTATAAAAAACGTTTGCAACTTGTTTTGAACTGCTCTAGCATCTAAATGTGAAGTGGTAGAAATCTGATACATGGCATGGACATAGATCTTTGGTCTTTTAGTAAAGCAACCCACCAGCTGAAATTCGGGTTTTTTTTGCAACCCGTCCGGAGTCCAAATTCATGTGGGGGATGAAAAAATCATAGGCCAGCATCCTTCTTGTCCTCGGCTACCTCTTTTCCCCACTGAGGGGACACTAACAACCTGCAGCAGCACACTCTGCCCTGGCATCTCAGTCCTAATGCCAGACAGGTGCTGAGGAAATGCCCTGGGGACATGGTTGGGGGTGGTGGAGAGCAAGCCCACCCTGCACTCATCCTGCAGCAGAAGTCCCTGTCCCATGGGGCTGGGCCCAGCTTCCTGATCCAGCCATGGTGACCTGGCTCACAAGGGTCAAAGCATCACTCAGGTTTGGCATAGCCACCCCCCATCATGATGGGGACAGGAGTGGGGGGGCAAATTTGAGTGAATGATGCCTTCCATATGATCAATGGAAGTGCATATGGAATAAGTGAAGCCCTGATTCAGCATACAACCCCTATCTATTCAGAAAGGCACTTAAACTTATGTAGTGGTAAATGAGAAAGTTAAGATTGTCTTAACAACTTTAACTCTTTCTTCTTGTGTGCATGCATTATAATACAGTCTTTAATTACTATATTTTCTATAGTACAGTTTTCTCATTCTGCACAAGGACTGGAAATTGAATGAGTTAATGTTGTGCAAAGAATGAGACTGGCATCCTGCCCATTCTCTAGAGAAGTTAGACGATATGTGATGTTTGAGGCATGGGACAACAAAGAACAATGACTGTAAAAATCAATATTGAACTGCCTCTTGCACTGAGCACTGTTCATCCTGTAGACTGAATGAGACATGGGTCCTGCAGAGAAAAATAATATGCAATCATGTAATTAAAGACTGTACCATAAAGCATACGTATGAGGGCAGAATTAAAGTTGCCTGGACAACGTTAATGTTCTTATTTACAGTTGTTCTTCAAGAGTCATCTCTGTGCATTCATATTTGTCGGATATGGTGTCCCTGGTCTTGAGCTGCGGAACTGCCTTGAAAAGCAGTGTCCATCATGGGATGCACAAGGAATTTCATCTGACGGTGATGTTATCAGCCTATTGTATGTCCATAAGGGAATGCACCTCTGAACCACCTCCATTCCTTTTTCAAACCACAGAGTCCTGACATTATATTGAACTCTAAGGTACAGGGGAAGACAGGAAGGTAGCGTCAACGCCGAGGTGACTCTCACAGAACAATAATTCCCAGTACTTAACTTCTCTTTCTTCTTCAAGGGTCTTCATGCACTTTCACTTGTGAGAGATTAGCAAGCAGTGAGTAAATGAGGAGGTCTGAGCTAAATATGAACTGTAGCATCGCCCTCTTGGACACCATTATTGCCATACTGGGCACTGGAATTTGATGTTAAGTCCAAAGAACAGTGCCTGGTGAAAGTGTGCACTGAATTTCAAGTTGCTGCTTTGCACATCGCTATCAAGGGAACCTGTCTAAGCTAGGCCACTGATGTTGAGGTGACTTTCGTAGAGCGGCTCTTTAAGCCAGTGTGTACTGGTTTCTTAGCTAAAATTAAACAATAATCCATTCATCTCCTATCCAGTGTAAGAGTCTCTGTTTGGTAATGGGTTCTTCCTAGAATCTTTCCCCATATGCTACAACCCAGATAGATTGATATCATTCATGGCAGTTGAACATCTGTGACTCTGAAGAGATCTGAAGATTTTATGAGTTTGAGGAAATTTAGAAAAAGCTAAGAACTAATGCGACAGACACTCACCAGGTTCTGTCGCTGCCATGGGCAGTTAGAGGGGATAGAGGGAGGGTCACAGCAACCCCACCCTATGCAAACTTGTATGGGAGCATGAGGAGGAACAGCATGCATATGTGGCCCTGATGGATACTGCTATTCAAAAGATTCCAATCTCAAACACATGTGTATGTACAATGGGATCCACACCAACATATATTCAAAGAACACAAAATATGCTTTTACACCGGAACTGTTGTCGCACTCATTTTTAATTTTTCCTCACTAAGATGCACTACAGTGTAACATTTAATCATGTTTTTAAATTTAAGTATGTGAGTAGTCCCATTGACTTTCATTAATTATGTGGACACCCCATAAAAATGCCTTCCTTTACCTAGCAAATCCTAATGGGATTCAATGGGATTACTCACATGCTTTCAAGTTAAGCACATGCAGAAGTGCTTTGCAGGACTCAATCTGGTAAGTAAATGGTTATGGCAAGGATTCTGGTCAGTGTGGAAAATGTTTACCATTAACATTCATCTTGTTTGGCTGATCTTGGCTATGTTTTCTCCATTTGTAGTTGTACAAGAATACAGCAATAAGCCACCACAAGGTTTGCATTAGGAGAATATCTTAGGAGTATTGTGAGGTACAAGGCTGAAGCCATCCAAGAAATACACCATTATTCTACTACCGCATTTTAAATTAACTCCCTCCTTCACCTCCAAACACAGGGGTTTTATGCAAGGATTCCTTCCCCTATAAAAAAAATAGTTCCAAGATGGAAGAGACGAGAAAATAGTATGGAAAAAACTTATAAACTCTTTGCCTACTATTTTAGTTTTAGTTGTAACTCAGTCTCATAATTTTTTCATTTTTTCCATTTGTCAGCTCAGATGGCTTCAGATACTATCTTTACTCTAATGAATAAGAAATCTACCATTCCTCTCGATTTATTTCAATGCATCCTGCCTTCAATCCTGGCCGGTGCTTTGACTTCAGTGGAACTATGCATGTGTTTAAATGCTCTGCTTGACTGGGGCCAGAGTGATCAGCACCTTGAAGGATCAATCCCCCATCTTGTACTTCATCCTATACCTCTGACATCTCCTCCTGGGTGCAGGGCCGCCGAGAGTGGGTTCGGGCCCTGGTGAAAAATTTTTTTCAGGCCCCCCAGCAAGGGCGGACTGGCTAAACAAGGCCGACAGGGGGCCGGGGGGTGGGGGGGGAGGAGAAGCCGGGCCCCGGTAATTTGTACAGGCTTCCCCCCCCCACCTCGTCGGCCTTGCCTCAGTGTCTCACCATCTCCTTAAATTAAATATGGCCAAACTACCTGTTCATCTTTCCTCCCATTCTCTGGGATGTAGGAGACCCTGGTCCATTCGCTCTGCTTCAATTCATATTTAATTATTTATACACAATGGAACAGATTCAACAGGAGAGACAAAGAGACTTGTCCCAGAATACCCCCTTGCTCTGTGGCTAGTGCACTAGCACGGCAGGTGAGGGATTCAAGTTTAAACCCTTATTTACATCAGATAGAAGGGTGAATTCAATCTGGGACTCCCACATTCTGGGTGACTACCCTAATCACTGGGCTAAAAGTTATAACAAGCATAGCATCACTATCTCTACCTCCTCCTCTGGCAATTTTATATGGGTTTCAGTGTACTTTGAGAACACCAACAGGATCAGGCTCCACAGGCAAGAGAGGCATGGCATTGCCTAGTTTGAGGAACCTGCTAGAATTTAGGCACAAGATAGGTGCCCAGCCACCTAGACTAGCAGAAACATAGGCCTCTAGGGACTTTAAGTGTCTACAGAGTTAGGTGCCAGCTTAGTGGGAGTTTTTGGTTTTCCATGGCACCTAAATGTTGGATTTAGGCTCCTAGGGCAGGGGTCTCCAAACTACTGCCCGCGGGCCAGATCCGGCCCGGGGCTTCCATTTGTCAGGCCCTCCAACCAACAGGGGAGAAGCGAACAGCTGAGTAGGCAGCCGAGCAGGCAGGGGAAGGGGACTCCGGCAGCAGCTCACGCGGGGCGGCAGCACAGCTGAGCCGTGCAGAGGGGTGAGTGCCTCTGGGAGCCAGTGTCCCCTGAAAAGGGGAGCCAACTTAGGGGAGCGTCGTTGCTGCAGCCGAGCAGGTACAGGGAGAAGGCAGGGGGAGAGAGGGGCTGCTGGCAGCAGCTCGCACATGTGTGTGTGTGGGGTTGGCAATAGCTCAGCTGAACTGTGCGGAGGAGTGAGTGCCCCCAGGAGCCAGTGTCCCCACAAAAGGGGAGCCAACTTAGGGGAGAGTTGTTGCTGCAGCCGAGCAAGCATGGACCCCTGCCTTAGAGTAAAAATACAAGCCAGATGCTTAATTACATCTCCAATAAATGGAGTAAAGAAGATGGAAATTAACAATTTCATAATGGTTAAATTTTAACTACAGCACTAATAGAACCAAACAGTATTTGTATGATACAAATGTGTGAGTTTTTAGAAATAAAATAAAAAAATTATGTGAAATGATTTTTAATGTATTGACAAATATTGTGTGTGATTTCACAGTACCAGCATCGATTAACTTTTATACCTGATTTAGAATTTAATGCAACACTAACACAGTAGTGTAGTGTTGTTTTTTTAACGATTTTGCATATATTTAATGTCTTTCACCATCACTTTGGCCCGCGAAGCCCCTTCAAAAATCTAATATGGCCCTCGTCTCAAAGTTTGGAGACCCCTGTCCTAGGGCAACAGTGGCTCCACAAAAGAAACAGTGTTTTAGCCTTGAAGTATGGCTAAAAGAAAGTCTAGCAGATTAACTTTAACAGGAAATAACACTTTCCCCCTCTGAGTCCAGTCACTGTGCCCTCAAAATGGCTGGACAATTTTGAATCTGAAATTTAGTTTATAGACTTGAATTGGGGGCTAGTTTAAGACTCCCAGTTAGGTTTGTTGATGAGGGAAGGGAGAAGGAAAAGGGGTAGCAGATTAGATAAACTGATGAAGGAGCACTGTCTTCAACTCTGACTGCCTTTCAAAGATTAAAGTCCTCAATATGCATTTATAGTACAGTTATGCTCTCCAGTTAACACAAAACAAATTCTAAATATGCAATTTTACATCCAGTTACCATTAATGCTTATTTACCTGTCGTCTGCTGAGTTCTATACTTCTTTCAAGTTCCATTTTAGCAGCTACCAATTCTTGTTGATGGTTGTGCCTTAGTTGGTCAATTGCTGCTGCATGTTGATGATTTAACTCTGAGCGCAAAGAAGCTAGTTACCATGATTAAAAGGAAAAAAGTTTATTTTGTAAACATTATTGTTAATTAACATAATCAACTCTGATAAAATATTACTGCTCACCTAATAAACAGAGAGATAGAAAATTACTTGTATAAATTAACATAAAATCTATGTTGACCACATCAAGCTGATTTTAGGTTTGCAATCCTACACCTTGAGCTGTCACATCATCTATCTTCTATCTTAAGCAAAGTCAGACTTGTTCAATACTAGAAAACCCACGTGCTGCAGGAAATTGTACTGGTGACTCAGTGTGCTTGTTTTTAAAGTGTGTTCTAGTCTGAAAAATACTTATGTAAAAATGGGATCTTATACAACACATCTGCTCCCTCTGCACATTCAGAGTCATGTCTGCTTACCTGAGTGACAAAAAGAAGAACAGGAGT